TAGCAAACGTTGCCTCTTAAAACCATGACGTTTGAAATATTTTAATTGTATGCCTTGGAAATCTAATCATTGCATAAGTTATTTGTGAAGCTTTTTTAGTTTTGTTTTATTTTGTCATTTATCAATTGTAATACCTGTAATACGTTGAACCGTCGACCCATTTTTGGTTTACAGCTATCAAATTTTCATATCCGTAGCCTTGTATCTTTAGTACACAACCCAAAATACTTATTGATGGAAGACTTATTGATGGATTTAACCTGCATTTGCGTTATGTGGTGAGGAAAACCGCGAAAACATTTCGCAGTTAACTGAAGGTTAAGGGTATTATAACCGATTATCCGTACTGAGGTTATTTTTCGTCACTACTGTGGTCGGTGCGAGCCGGAAGCAGAATCAATCACCACTTGGATTTGAATCAGGATCAGAGAGCTGCATTCCCTGAGCCACCGTGGCTCGCAACTTGTAAGTCGGAATGGGATTCTTTTTTATGGAAAATCCAAAACTGAAGGGAAAATTGGTGTTTCTCTTTGAGATTTTGAAGCTTTCCCTTGCCTCACCCACAAAGGGGAAGATATGAGCGTCGAATTTAGCATCATTGCATGCATTTTTTGAAAATATTTCCCATAAATATTTTTAGAATTTGTAAATTTCTCAAGATATTTTACCATTTCAATGCATTTTTGGCATTCTGTATATTAAACTCACTGAAATTAAACACTTCTCTTTTTTTTTCTTTTTCAGATTGAAAAGCTGACAGATTTAAACTTAAAATCTGAGTTGGAAAAGCGTCTGGTGCTTAGTAAAGATTCATTTACTGAACTATTCTTAAAAAAAAAGTGAATGAACATTCAAAACCTAAAAAATGATGGAAAATCAAGTTCTTTTTTATTATCTTTTCGTACGAAACAAATTTATTATAAGTATATAGTTATGGATAATATATTTAAATTCAATTTTAGAGTCAACACGGTTAAACTTTTACAAAGTTGTTCTTTACACATTATTGTGATGTATAAGTTAATAAATATGTGTTCCTATTTATTTTAACTATTTTATTTCATTTTTTCATAATAACACTAATTAGTCAAACTAACATTAGCTTAATTTAGTCAAACTAATCATTTCTGTTTATTCGCATAATACCCTATAAAATCAGTATTTACAATAAATTTGCATCCCGCAATGGACTGATCGTTAAGACACGGTTCCCAGCAGTTCACCGAAGTCAAGCATCAATGGCTGCGGTCAGTGCGCGGGTAGGTGACCACTTGGATCAGTCAGCGTAGGGACCGAGGGTGTGCGGTACGGTCCTCGTTAAACTGTTCTACCGTAAAGTGCTCGACTTCGCGTGCAGGTCGTCGGCCCATCCCCTCTGCTTAGGATCAAAATTGTGATGGCATGTCTTCGGATCATCCTCAGGGATGTTTCCCAGACCGTCGCCAATAGCCCATTGTGCAGCTCCAGTGCGACGTAAATCAACCACATACAACTACAACAACAACAAATTTGAAGAAATTTAAGTTTTGGTTTATAGCAAAACAGGTCAACTCATAAGTGAGTTGCAAAACCGACAATATCCAAAATAAATATAAAAAAAATCCCCTCCCTTCACTTGCCCATGCTTCGATCTTTTGGGTTTTCTCGATATTTTGGTTGGGTGCCCATGCCTCGATATTTTGGGTATCTATTTTAGGTTAACAGGAAGCATTAAAACACACTGTTTTAATGCCTCTTAAAAAAACAAGTTTTGGTTCTTATCTAATTGTGGCTAAAAGTGGTAGAAAATCAGTTTTTCCGGAAAATTTTACGTTCTGGGGATTTTGCAACTAAAAGTCACAATTAATAAATATTTTCAGAAAATTTTCAGGTAGAGGTCGGTTAGTGGCATAATATTAATAGAGATTTATTGATAGTAGTTATTGACATACAAATATTTTTTCTCCTTAATTTTGTGCCTTTTAATATCTATTTATTTAAATTTTCTTTTTGTTTCTTTTGGAAAGTTAACAATCATTTCAGTAGTTATGTGGGGAAAAATCGAGTGAAATGGAGTAGTAACACGACGCTCTGAATATAACTATTACTTTAATAAGCTCGTTCAAATAGTTATTTTATGCAAAAACCATAGAAAAAATAACAAATAAAAAGTACTGAAACGCCTAGAACAACAACATCAAGGATATTCAAGACGAAATTTTGATATCGATAACAGCAGGCAAAGTCTTCCTACCTGACTTTTCTCTTATCTAAATTGATAAATAATGTGACATTTGACAATAGATGCAAAATATTTTCATAAATGGTACCTATGAAATAGTCATAAAAATTGTCAGAAAAGTTACTGGGAAAATTTCTAAATGTACAATAATAATAATAATAATGAGTTTTATTAGATGAGCGCACAATGTTTCAAAATTTTAAATAAATCAATTTGCAGGAAGGAAATGAAATTATAGAAATTAAACTAAGCATTTTTTATCTTTATTAATGTGGATGATCAGAGCTATAATTATAACACTATCTCGAATATCTTCTAAAATTTTCGAAAATATAAGATTTCCTCTTTCTCTAAAAACGAACCCATCAAAATTGTTTACGAAATTCCTAAAATAATCCAGCAACCTAAAATAATGTAAACGAGTTTTTACACAGTACTTTTTTACAATCCAGTTCGATAAATATTTTGTATTTATTTTTAACAATGCCCAAAAAACAACATTGTCAATAACAAATAAAAATAAAAAAGGGAACAATTTGTTGAACGTTCCAAATAAAACTTTTTTTTACTTCAAATAAGATTCAGTTTCAACAAAAGCTATTCTTAAGAAGCTGCTTAACTTGAAACAGAACTAAGGGATTTCTATGTTGTAACAGAACTAAGGAACTGCTTTATTTTGAAGCAAAACTAAGGAACTGTTTTCATTGATGGCAAAATCAGTTCTTTAGGAACTGCTTTTTTAATACATCTATATATATATATTTCTCTTACACGGTGACGAAAAAAAGTCTCATTACAACTCCCCGAATGGCAAGGCTAGAAAATCGACCAACGATTGCCGCTAAAAATGTCAAATGCCAAATCTAGCTGAGGGGGCTCAACATATAGCGCTTTTAAAAACGGAAACTGAAATGACCAGAGAGAGCATTCTCACCAAATCTGATCTCTTCGGAAATTCACCCTATCAGCTGCGGCAATCTCATACAATTAAGTTAGGCAGAAGTGAGTAGTCTTTGTCGATAGATCACTATTTTAGTATTTTGTCGACAGCGCTTTTTTTCACGAATTTATATATTACGAATTTATTTGACGATTTTTGATTTATATCACGAATTTATTTGTTTTACTAGAATTTATTTGTTTATGCAGGTTTTTCCATTGCAATTCACTTATTTCAATTTTTAATAGACTTAATTATAGCCAAAATTTTAACCTTTTTAAAGAGATATCAGTTTTAGAAATTTTATCTTAAGATTTTATACTATAGCACATTTCTAATAGGTTTAACGAATTACATGTCATTTATTTGAATTCAAATTTATTTTAATGACTTAGTATTTACTAAAAAGATGTAATTTTTTTTTAAAAAAAAAGTTGTTATATGGATTTGAATGATTGTTTTGAATTCTTAGAATTTTGTGCATTTGCAATGTACCTAAGTTAGTAGCGAGCGAAGCGAGCTTGGTTTGCGAATCAAACCATATAACATTGCGCAGCAATTTTCGGGGGTTGGCGAGCGTTAGCGATCAGGGGGTGCAGCCCACAAGTTTTTATTATTATGTCATATTTAAGAGAAAATAATAAAAGACATTATCAAAATTAGACGAGTGTTAAATGATATTTACATTTTGAAATCTATCATTGCATGAATCAGTAGTTCAGTATTTAAATTGTCAGTGGTTAAAATATTTAATTCTTTCAAATCTTCCTTAATTAAAAACAACTTGTAATTATTATCAATTTTAAATTATTTCCTCATGTTATACATAATTAAGATGAATAAGTTTTGAAATAAAATAAATGATGTATAATTTGTTTATGGTTTTCCATTTATTTGCTTACCATATTTGAGACAAATATTAAATAAGAATATTAAATAAATATTATGTAACGTTATAAATACATTTTTTTAAGGAAATGACAGCAAATGTTACAACATTACAAATGACAACTAATAGGAAAAACAGTTAAAGGACTCTTTCGGTAGTTTGGAAATAACTCTTCTGATTACAGAATCTGAAACGTTTCAGGAAATTGTCAGTAATTTATGCAACTTTTTGAACGTGATGTTTTTTATTTTTACTTATTTTTATTTATTTATTTATTTTTTAGCGTAGGACTTGACTTCAAAAAATCAGTTATACTTTTTAATATCTATGGTATTTATATCTAACACGTTTTTCTCAGATTATCCTCAGGACTGCGGTCGGCTCACTGAGCGGCTCTAGTGCGACGTGAATATGTACTACTACCACTATTATGTCTTTGATGTGCATATATTTTCCAAAAGAGTTGAAAGGGCTTTCTGGGTACATCCCACCCTGGAAGATGACTTTTATTATCAATCTCTAAGATCCACCTGATTCCTTTGAAAACGTTTATTATTATTATTATTATTATTATTATTGTATTAAAAAACTAAGAAAATGGACAATTTAAGTGTTCTCCTAATGAAGTAGGTCTAAATTTGAGTTACATCTGTTTGCCGGAACAGAAACCGATAAAAATCAAAAGTAAATAAAAACCTTGAAACGAACCAAAACAGAACAAAGAAGCTCAGAAAACACATTTACAAAAATTATTTGGCTGCATTAAAACATGTTCCTGGTTGGACATATTTAGTAAATTGCCATAATTTAGCCTCATTTTGTGAAAAACAATTGAATAAAACATTATTTATAATATAATTACTAATTAAAGATGTTTTCAAAAATCTTACGTTTGTTCTACTGATAATAGAGTTTTTTATCAGCTCATATTCTGTTTTAAATAATTGTAGCCTTTTGTCCCTATCTTATCAGCACAACAGCCGATTTAAATCACACGCACATTTCTTTATATAAATCAGAATAATTGGAATAAACTGATTGAGAATATTCATCAAAATGAAGACAATCGTCGCATTCGCTTTCTTGGCTTGTGCCATTATCTTGGTAAGTTTCCTACATTTACATATGACTAAACGAACTGCTTTATACAAAATATCTCTTCATTTGTTTATAATTGGAAACTGTCTTTGGTGGAAATACAATAAAAAATGCCTACAATATCTTTAAAAGATGTTATACATTATTCGGATAAGCACATCCGAAAATGCTTTTAAAAATGTTGATAGTTGACATTCATTTAAACTAAAATGATGTGACTTTTATTTGAAGCGTAATTGCATGTAATAAGCATTGACAAATTAAATGTAGTTTTCTTAAGACAGTGTTCGAATTTCCTATCAGTGGACGTTTCAACTAACTTAGTTTTACTACTAGGTATATATATATATATACAAGTAATATCGTATTTTGCCTTAGGGTACATACTAATTGTGTTTGAGACCACCACCGCAAGATTTGTTGACAATACAATTTACCGTCACATACTCTTTAAACAGATCGACGTATCTATAATTCTTGATCCAAAAACAAAAACATTGATTATTTGTAGAGCTATGGATATCGTTGTCCTGTATTGCGACAAAGCAGAATACGACATATTAAAAGCATACATAAATAACAAAGATCACAAAGACAGAAACGTTCATTTCGGTGATATGAAAAGCATCATTATCAGTATTGAGACCAAAATAATGATGGTGCTTCTTATGGTACTGAAAGGCGGTCTATTGTTGATTAATTTAGTATTGCAACTTAATCATGCAGACATGACTCCCTGAATTTCAGCAAAACGGAACACAACGCATAAAAATCGATATAGTGAAGCAACATAAGCAATGTATTATGAAGATTACAAAGACAGAGGCTATCGTTCCGGTACAATTGAAGAGCGTCATTAATTAATACTGAGGACAGAATAATGATGGTGCTTCTTATGGTACCGAATAGAGGAGGACTACTAACTAATTTAATATTGTTATTTTATTCTTTTTTATAGAAGAATGGTTATGGCATTGCAATAAAGCGGAATGTAGTGTATAAAATCATAAATAATAATGACCCCTAAGAGAGAGGCGTTTATTTCGGTGATATGAAAAGCATCATCATGAGTATTGAGACCACGACAATGATGGTGCTTCTTATAGTGCCGAAAAGAGATCGAATGTTGTTTAAGTTAATACTGCAGCTTAAAAAAGTAGATGTGACTACCTGCATTGTAACAAAACGGAACAGAACGTATAAAAGCATTAATAAAGAAGATCGCATGCAATACGATCACGAGAAGACACGATTGTTTCAGTGCAATGAGAAACATCGTCATCAAAGATGGCGCATCTTACAGAACCGAAAACGGTCAATTGTTGATTCATTTAATATTACAACATTAATTTATATCTTACAGGTTTCGGCAGAAAAAGATAAGAAATGCAAAGGTAAATCTGACTGTGATGAGGATGAATGTTGCACAAGGATTGTAAGCTTCCTGCCCTCTCGTTGTCAGAAAATGAAAAAAGAAGGTGAGTGTACCCATGAAATGTTACTCAAAATAATTTCTACCATCTTCTACAAATATGCTCATGATTACCAAGTTCTGGTTAAATATCCAATTGTAATTTTTTGGGGAAAGGAAATATTCTAGTATTATTCCTAATACTATAAGAATGTTGTATTTTTAGGTGAATTTTGCTTGACAAATATTTTCGAATTAAGGGAAGGTGACGTGTACCGTTTTTCCTGTCCATGTGCGGGTGATTTAGAGTGCAAACCATCTAAGGAAACAGATGAAAACAATGTAAGTATACAACGATTTGCATGTTAAAAGAATATCGCATGGGTAGTTTTTCGATTAAACACTTGCCGTTTTTGCAGATAACCGAAATCATCCACTGATATTGATCCTCATTTATGACAACTTATCAGTAATTTGTTTTTAAAATCAGTAAACTTTTAACGTTCGTTTCCTGCTGCAATATCATATCTTCTTGAATGAAATTTCTAACAGTCTTAAGACACTGTTTCGTTTTAATAACGAAAAATTTTGAAAAAACTAATTTTAACTTAAAACAACCTTAAATAAACTATATTTTTAACAATATTTAGTTTCATTAACATTAAAGATAAATAAATATTAATTCATATTTAATTAACAATCGAACGAAATTGATTCAAACTAAGTAAAAAAACTGTTTCAAAGGCAATCAGTGAATTAAAAGTGTATTTTTTTTTCAGTCAATATTATTTCATCAGTTAAATCAAACTTAGTTTTCATTTCATCAAGAAGTCGATATACAAATCAATTTTTAATGTTGAATCAATATTTAATGTTAAATCAATATTTAATGTTAAATCAATATTTAATGTTAAATCGTTATTTAATAACAAATTAATATTTAATATTAAATCAATATTTAGTGTCAAATCAATATTTAATGTGAAATCTATACGCAATGTCAAATCAATATTTATTATCAAATCAATATTTAATATTAAATCAGTATTTATTATCGAATCCATATAAAATGTATGTTAAGATATGGATGCACTAATACAATTTCAGAAATACATATTTTGCAACTGTTATGAAAAAAATATAAAACTCCATTGATAATCAACATTTTTAATTAAGTGAAACTAAAAATGAATTTCCTAAATTTTCCACTCCACAAGAATTAATAATTGTGAAAATAAATTAAATACTTCATGAAATTAGGAAAATTTAGTACGTACTATAATTAACCTATGAAATTTGTGCTTTTTAGTAGATAGCCCAGGGCTCGAAAAAACTCAGAAATTTTACCCGTCCCCGAGGACGGCTTGTCCAATAATGCACCCGTCCTCCGCTGAAACTAACCCGTCGCTTTTAAATAAATAAAAACATAATTTTCTCCTATTTATTACAAACATTTATATAAATTGCACAATGAATTAGTCGTTACTAGGATTAAATTCCAAAANCAATGATTTACAGAGGTTTCTGAACAGAAATCTGAAAGGGGTTTTCCATTTAGGTAGATGTTCATAATTGCTTTTAAAGCTTCTTGTTTAAGACCAGTACGTATTGTGTTTTTTTGTAAGTTTATTGCTGCAAAGCCCCTTTTAACCGCTGCAGTACTCCCAGACAGAGAAAACATCAATATATGCGCAGTATGTTGCTGTATTGTGGGTCATTTTGCTGCCTTGTAACTTACAAGACTTTGGAAGATAACAAGAATTGAAAATGTATCACGAACATTAACGGGAAAATGGCCGTCCTCGCGAACATCGGATTCGAGAAATTAGTTGTCCGCGGAGAATTTTTGACAGTCGAAGACGGTCGGACGGGCTGTTTTTCGAGCCCTGAAGCCTACATCCTTATCATAGTAAGCTTACCCAAGTCAAAATTCTTGATGGTCCCATCAAAAAATTTTGACGATTTATGTTAGTTTCAGCGTGATTGATGATGGTCCAACATCATTTAATGGTCGCCATCATCCAACATTTTCCATTACGCGTTCATATGCCATCAAACTTCTATCATTCCTTGTTGGAAAATGCTACTTTAATATGTACTATGATGGTTTACCATTAAATGAAGTTTGATTCTCATGAACCAACAGTCCATGATGGTTCCAACTGCACATTTCCATGATGGTTTATGGGAATTCTTGTTAGTTCTCGGGAATATACCATAAAATCTATTTTTTGTGTCAGACCATCATAAATCAGACCGAATTCCTACATTGGGATGATGGTTGTTCTTGATCGTTCCAACCAGTGCTGCATTGCCCATTAGGCCAGGCTAGGCCATGGCCTGGGGCCCCCAATGATTAAGGGCCCCTTAAAATGGATCTTTTGAAAATAAATTTTAAAAAAGTAAGAAAAACAATGATTTTTTAAAAAACAAATCAATTTCAAATATATATTAATAAAATGCGATATCTTTTTTTACATAATGTTGATCATATTTGTTTATTACTTATTTTAGTTATTATTTATAAGTATTATTGCAGTTTATGCATTATAAGATTTATCAATAATTTTTTAAGTTCAAATTTGTCATTCTAATTTGCGAGATAAAAAATTTATAATTGTTTATCGAATCAGATGTTCTCTGTGAAATTAATTTTGATAAGTTTATTGATCGCAAGAGCAGAAAAAAAAATATTTTTGAAATACCAATTTTATAGTAGCGTTGATTTCGTAAAGTGTTAATAAATTTCAAATTTTTTCAAAATTTTATGATTATTTTTTTAGTTCAAATTTAACAAAATAAAGTAAAATTTAATTTATTATTATTTATTTTTGTTTTAAGTATGCTTTCTTAAATGAAAAGATATATAAATACTTTTGTATTTGAATAAATAAAAAATATAGGAGAAAATATTTTAATCTAAGGGCCCTAAAAATTTGAATGGCCTAAAGCCCCACGTACGCTTAATCCGGCACTGGTTCCAACATTTGATTTCTAGTATGTTGTTGTTGTTGTTTCTAATGCGACTTGCCATACTAGCAAGCCTGCTTGGTGAAACAGAGTAATTTACTATAGAAATTCGCGATGGTCCATAAGGGTACACTACATCTCCATGATGGTTTAATTGAAAGTCCTGTTGGGTCAACAGAAATATACCATCAAAACCATTTGGTTTTGTTCATGTTTCTTTTATAAACTATGGTGGAAACTTCTGATGAACAAAACAAGTTGCTGTTCTTACGTTGGGCCATCATAAATCAATCCGAATTCCTACATTGGGTTAATGGTTACTTATGTTGGTTACCATCAAAAAATATAATGGTTTATGATGGAATTATTGATGGTTACCATCAAGATTATGTTGGCCCATCAATGGAAAACCATCAAAAATTTTGCCTCGCTACTACGTGTCTCCTTCAACTCCACAGTGACTCATAGAAATTTATAATAAGCATATTCATTCTCTTATTAAAAAAAACAATAAGTAAAAATAGTCTAAAGTGGCAATTTCAAAAAGAAAATTCAAAATTTACATTTATACCATAAATACGATTTTTTTTCGGAACTTTATACACCGAATAGCCATTGCATTATGACCACCCTCCATCTATAACAATGAACTCGCCCAGGTTTTCATAGTTTCTCGCCCAGAAACAACGTTTTCATGGGGCACATTAGGACCCATAATCCTCATAGAACAATCCCTGACGTCTGTAAGTTACTTGAACATAGTTGCAGACCAGGTTCACCCATTCATGGTAACAGTTTTTACTGCGGAGGATGGTGTTTACCAACAGGATAATGCATCATGTCATAAGGGTCGAATCGTCGAGGAATATTCCAGTGACTTTCAAGTCATGTCTTGGCCCCCAAATTCACCTGACCTTACTCCAATAGAGCATTTGTGGTCCTACTTGGAAAACCAATTTCGTGCTGCCACGCTACCCCCTTGCAATGTGAGGGAATTGCAGGACCAGTTGGTGAGCGCTTGGTACCAGATACCTCAGACTACCTATCAGCACGTTGTGGAATCAATGCCACGGCGGGTACTAGCAGTTTTGAGGGTTAAAGGTGGTCCTACATATTATTAGCAGGGTGCTCATAATGTAATGGCTCTTCGGTGTATAACTATATATTTGCAATTTTACAATCAAGTGTGATGTTATGCAACTTTATATGAAAAATTCAGTTTACAACGAAACAATTTATAGAGAAATTTTAAGCGTTAAATAACTGAAATGTTCTAAGCCTCCTCTTCCCTGATGATTAGGAGAAGCTTTCTTTTTCATTTAATTCATAGTCTGGCGTCACTGAAAATAACGCTTTCATTCGAAAATTATCGCAAATAATAGTTAAGCAGCAATAAATTACTTTAAATCGTGATTATAGGTTAACAAATTTTACAATTGCTATCTATACGATTACGAGTAATTACGATTACCTCAAGTAATAAAACAATCATGTAATAATAAGCCAAGATTACAATTACATTGATTATTTGTCCAAGCCATTTAAAAATACTGCGAGTTTTGTCGGAAAATATTTATTTCTGCATGAAATTATAAGTTATATTGGTATATACACACAAATGATGTTCCATAAAAATATATAAACTAAACATTAATGACAAAAAAACAATGTACTTTTGAACGTGGTGGTGAGTTATGATTACATGATAACTTATAATCAAGATTCCATGAAATCATTCTTAGTTTTGATTACGAACCATATGATTATATGTAATCAAGATTACATACTATGACGATCACTTAAATGGATGGTAAGCTAATGATATGGCCATGATGGTAATATTAGATTGTATGAATACTTGTAAATATTGACCATATTATTACAAATTTATAAATATTTGAATAGTTTCTTTTGTTATGAGGCTAGATTTCTCAGTCGAATCCTAAATAAGCAGTTTAATTAGAAGATTTGTCCAGAAAGACACAGAATTCTATCATAATTCAGAAAGAAAATAACGCCTAATGTATTTCTTAGGGAAGACACGGTTTACTGACTTGGCGGTACTTGGCAACCATTTTGGTAATAAAATAGTTGTTATGGAAACTTAAGAGTTTCAAAGCGATGGCACAAATATTTACTTAATTTATGCAAGAATAATCTAGAATCGCGTCGAAAGTTCTGGTGTTTTGTCGCCAAACCTATATAAATGGGAATGTGCCTTCCAACGAATGCGTACTCCTGATACAATATGATTACTTATAATCACTATTATTATTGTAAACAAAATAACTGTTGTTAACAACTTTTTACTTATTACTTTTACGAATGCAAATATTAAATGTAATATTTCAAGTGTGATATTTTAATTTATTTTTAAAGGTTGTCAATTTCTTGAAAGATAAGTGTCAAGCAAAGGAATAATGATCTTCCAAGAAGATTAAGCCCTGAAATGTCATCTTTTGATGGGCCCTAGTAAAAATGAGAATTAAAAGAATCCAAAAATCCAGCATATTCTTTGTTTCATCAACTGAAAACAATGACTACATGTGCCACATTTTTTTTTTTAGTTGAAAAATAAAAACTGTATTTTTAAAATGAATTCTAAATATTCATTTCAATAAAATTGTGATTTTTTTTAAACTATTCCTTGATTTGTTCACTTGATTATTTATTTATGAAATTCATCATTTTTTAAAAAAAATAAATAAGAAATAAAAGGAAGAAAGTAAAGAAAATGGACGAATATTTGAAAAAAGGGATGTATTTCTCAGTTAAGTCTATTTTGAAAAATATAATGAAAAGAAATGTACATTGAAAGATCGATTGTTAGTATGCATCTCACTACTTTTCGTTTGACATCTTTAATCTTCTTACGGAATAGAAGGGCTAGTTCATTCCCCTCTTAGCTACGATTTCCCTCCTCATGACGTCACGCTACCCACAGATCTAGGCGATCGCAAGCAATGATATTATGAAAACTTTGTATCATTCTCTCTGTAAAAATAAGTTCGACTTTTTCTTGATATTAGCTTTCAAACTTTATGCAATTAACATATTTCCTTTCAAAAACATAGTTTTGAAAAATTTTCTTGACCAAAATAATAAATTAAATACCATTTCAAACTAATAAAAATATTTTACTAGCTGTCGTAAATGACGCTATAAATACTTTATTTTTAAATTTTCAGTCTTAACTTTTATTGTTAAGAAAAAATTTAATGCATATATCGACACTTTTTTAGCTACATATTGTTCGATAACAATAATTTGTAAAGTCCGGTTAAATTTAGAATCTTGATTTTAAATGCCGTTAATGGCAATTTGTTTATACTTAATCATTAGGAAACAACAACCTTAAGCGCTAATTAGTCAAATAAAATAACTTAGGTTCATAAAAATATTAGAAATTTTACAATTGTTTATAGGTATTTAAATTTAAAAGAATATAATTATATTTAAAAAAATAATTACATTATAATTAAAAAAAACTAATAAATATTTAGAATAACTACGTTATGAAACTAGGAGAATTTTAACTATTAATTATCTATACTTTTAATTTAAGTTTTTATTTTCATTGAATCATTCATTTTTTAATTTCTTCGTCTGCCTTCTTTTTTTTTTGAAGTAGCTGGGCGGTTTCAATTTAGTTGGAGAATTCTTATAAAAGTTCTGAAATGCAAAATAAGCGTATTGCGGTCTTTTTTACTTATAAATTCTATGATGACATTTTGGGCCGGGATAGCCTGGTCGGTAGGGCACTGGGCCCATGTCCGAGAGTTCCTGGGTTCGAACCTCGCCGGCAGTTGGTGACTGATGCACGTTAAATTCTGTCGAGTCGCAGAGTCCTCCATGTTCCCATAACAAATCAATACCTCTGGGGGTACTGGATTGGAGGTCGATCGTTCTCTGATTCAGGTCAAAATTACGATCTGTGGATGAATGAATGGATGTATGGATGGGTCCGCCATATAAACGGGTGTGACGAGACGGCTGAAAAACGAGAAACACTATCTCTGCCTTAAATTGCTCGGCTTCGCCAAGCTGGCTTGCTAATGTCGCAAGTGGCATTAGAAACAACAACAACATGATGGCATTTTTGATTTTCTGTTCCATGCACACTTTAAAAACTTTTCTCAAATTCCTGAAACGTTTCCATCCATGCTGCTGATGGAACAATTAGTCCTCCTTTAGATAAAAGAGCACTTGATAGAGTTAGAGCAATTTCAAAATCATTCTAATCGGCAATCCAAGCAAACGATTTTTCATATCATCTTCATAATCTTATTTTAAAAAATGCTTACTGCATATTCGTTCATATGTGTCATTTCGTTTGCAATGTTGAAGCCATTCTTTTACATAGTTGTTCATTTACTTTAGGGAACACGTGGAAAATTATATTTTTTCCTTTTGTGTTTCTATCTGAATTTTTGTAAGTTGCAACTGTCATTTCATAAATAATTTTAAATTTTTGTAATTCACTTCACAAAACTGAGAAAGATCACTATAGGAAACAAAGAATGTCTTGGAATATGTCACAAAAAAAGAATGCTCCAATATTAGTTAAAGCCAGTTAGACCGAACGCTTCGTTCTTGAAGTAAAAGCTCAAGCTTTGCGCCACCGTGACGTCAGAGGCGAAAATCGGAGGTTTGGCGAGGCGAGAGTTTTTTCTGGCTCTGCAGGATGTTGATAAGTTATTTGTGGCATCGGAATGGCACTTTAACCCATTGTCCGAACTTAGCACCCAGTAATTCCCTTATTTGAAGAATATTTTGCCAGCTGACGATTCAGCGATAACGACGAGGTGAAAGACGCTCAGTGCTTTTATTTTCGTTTATCCCCCCACACCCTAACTGAATGAATTTCGGTAATTCTAAAAAGTAGAAAACCTTTGGAATTACTATCGTAAATAATTATATTGTGATGTAACCAAGTCAATTTTAAGATCAATAACTTTAGTAATAATTTTTCAATTGTGAAATATGTTACATAGGGCGCTACATAGGGGGGCAAACTCTCTGTCACCTGAGTAATTTGATCCTCAAAGGACGAACGCCGCCATGTAGGTGGCTTGATAATTACTTACTCTGGATTCAATGCCACGTATAAGACAGCGAAAATCAATTTATTATTTTCAACACCCTAATTGATGTCTTACAGACTTAACTTAGTAATAATCTATTGTATAATTATAATTTATATTATGTGTATTTATATCTGGTGGGAAGAAAATTTGAAATATCTCTAAAGGCACAAATTTTAAATTTAGAAAAAGTAATTTTAGAGTAAACCTAAAGCAAACCATGAAGATTCAAATGCAGAAAAAAATAATTTTATTTTTAATTATCAAAATTCAACGAAATTATGTCAAGAATTAGTTTGGATTAAGCTGAAGAAAGTTATCCTGCAATAATCTGTTTGTATTATGGCATTTTGAAAAAGCATTTGAAATTTCATAGTTTTCTCTAGATTTATTAAAGCTCACTTTTCTCCAAATTTTAAAATAAGAATGGAGGGGGAAAAGAATTCGCCATGACAAGTTTCTCGCTTGGTACAGCATCCTCTTAAGAAACACCATAATGAAATAGATTTGATTTACTTTTCTGTGAAATTAATCTTACGCGAAACTGCATCCTATCAACATATACAATTAAAATAACTGATGTAAAATAAGTATTTAAAATTACAAGGCAATTTTTTTTAGTTTAACATTTCACCTTATTGTAAAATAATCCTCTTTGGCCATAAAAATTAATCGTGTTTTTATAGCAAACAAAAAATTTTAAAATAATTAAAAAGAATCAAACGGACAGCTTTGTAGGGAAGTTGCAATATAATTATCATTTCCGAAAAATATTATAACTGAGCTATATTTGTTTTATATTATTATTTTTTGTCCTCAATAAAGAAGTAGCAGAGCAAATTAATTTAAATTGAACGAAATCCTGACTAAAATAAGTAACCTCTTAAGTTAATAATTTTAGATAATATAGAAACTGTCTTTTTTGTGCAAAAAGCAAAAACATTTGTTTACAAAAAGAATGAGATTGGCGAACATAACAAGCAGAAGGAAAAACCGCCTTTGTTATAAATTATGAATAACCTTTCACCCAATATTGTTTGTCAACAAGTATCTCTTAATTGGAAAGACAAAACTTTAGTTGGTTTTTCCTAACTTAAATATCAATTTGGAATCCCTAATATGTTCTTTTCTAACTTCATTTTAGACAATGATTATAAAGAGCCGTAGTGGCTCAAGGGATAGAGCACTCGCCTCCCAGTCAGGTGACCCGGATTCAAACCACAGCTATGATTGGTCGATACGAATTTCACACCCGGCAAGCAAAGACTGCAGTGCTAATATTAAATATCATCAGTGGAGAGATCATGGGTTTAGAGTCCCCTCAGGTTAACCATGGGAGGCTTCCGTGGTTTTCCTCTCCATGTAACGCGAATGCGGATTAGTTCCATCAAAAAGTGTTGCACGGTAGTAAAATTTCTCCCAATATTTGATCCAGGAGTTCCTTTGTTTTCTAGATTGGGTTCAAAATTACAAGGCTAAGGAGTTGAACATTAGTAGCCGTAAACTTGAAATTAGGTCGGCTGTTCAACAACAGTTATAAAATAAAATGATTCTAAAATATATATAGGGCAGTCATTAAGGAGTACCCGGTACGAATATTGAAAATGTATCAAAATTAAATATTCTCAAAAATGAAATATGCTTTAATATGCTTAATGCTTCAAAACATAAATTTTTATCTTTCATAAATTCTACTTATCCTGCATTTTAGTAGAGTTTAAAATTAGTTATTTTATTTAGAAAAAGTAAAATAAAATTCAATTAAAACACGAATATTTCATGCAAAATATAGTCTCCATACGATAGCACTGAAAAGTTTTTTACTTTATGTAATAGAGAGAAAAGTTTTAGCTGCAATAAACTTAAAAGCAAATCTGAGTTCTATTCTTTAAGGAAGAACATGTTTTGAAAATAAAAAATAAAAAAAAGATATAATTTCGGAAATTGTTCTTTTCATTGATAAGACGAAAAGAAAGATAATCGAGTCACAGATTAGTAATCTACGAGTGAGAAATGAGTGAAACAGACATCAATTCTAAATATTAAAATTCACCTCCATTTTTAAAGGTATGTCTAGTCTAATTATAAGTTTTTTTGTACTTATGTGAATGGTTAAAGCTTAAATACTATTATTTTAAATGTGACATCCCTCTTATTATCTGATAAAATATTTCTGTTATTGTTTTGACTAAAATATTAAGTCAACGAGATTTACATACAGCAATACCAACGAGATTTACCATTACCGAGATTACGAGTTTACCACTGGAGCAATGTGGATGCCGTTATAAATTATTGAAAATGTATTTAGGTGGATTTTTTTTTAAAGAATAGCTGAAATTTCGCTAAGCGCGTGATAAAAGTTAGAGATGCAAGCTCAATAATAATGTATGCTTCGAGTTCAAAGTTCAAACGATTTCTTGTTGAGTTCTTATTCAGTTATTAAATGATTATGCGCTTAATTGTGTGAAATGCAGAACTTTTATATACCCTTTTTTAAACGACAGGTAATTTGATAATTACTTCGATATAGACAAAAACAACCTTTATTTACCATTTCCAAAAATAAATAAATTTAAATAAAAAAAAGAGGTAAGTGATATTTCAGGAATCTTCTTTTTAGTACTGACATAAAGAATATACGTTATCAAAATTTAGAGTTTTCAGTCTTTTTATCCACTACCCAATGTCTAATTCTCACAATAATAATGCGTAGATATTAAATGTGTAGATCTGGGGATTGTAACAAAGCGTAACAAAATGAATTTTCAAAACAATTCTTTGAAATACTAACAGTTTCGAAGGACTCGTTACCCTGTGTTAAGCACTCATCGATGCTGCCATAGATCATTAGCAATGATGTTTAATAATAATGACTACCGTGCACTAGAAATAAAGGTTCCAAAACATGCCACGATAACATTTTCTTTTTTTTTAGACCTTACTAGTCCTCTATTCTGATAAGCTTCGTAAAATTGAAACCGCAGTGAAGCAGAAATTTAATTCCAGAAAACTGTCTAGTGTTCCTAATAGAGCTGCCATTTAGTGTATAAACAATTAATCTAAAAATATATTTACATTAAAATACTAATAAACACTAATATCCCTTCCATACATTGATGATATTTCCACCCCGTGATTGTACATCTAATGGAACCTGACCCTGAAATATAATCTAAAAATTCTAGGTAGATAAATGTTCAGTGACTTAACAAAAGAGCTTTTTAAAGATAAGATTTGTTTCAAAGATTTAATTTCTATTTCCATTGTTACATATTTTTGAACTTCATAAGATCAATATGTAAAAAAAAAATATATTTATCTTTTTAAAACCAGTCATTTCCTGACCTTTTTTTATTAAAATAGATTTTTTTTTAATGAAATTTGAAATGGTTGGCTAAAAAATGGATTTTCAGTTATCTGATAAGTTTTCAGTCTAAAAAAGAAAGAACAGCTAATAAATAATAGAATTTTTATATACAAAAATCTTTTTTGGAGTTCTGTAACGGTCAGTAAACCCTTAGTCTTTTTTTTTTTTAAAGAAAAAAATGGAATAGTGTTTTTTAAACTAGATCGAGTCTTCTTCCTCTTTTATTTTTCCCGCTTTGCCCCAAAACAGACAACTAAATCATCTTCGCTTTCAAAAAATATTTTTGATAAAAAAAAAAAAATATCATTAAATGCATTTATTTACGAAAATAAACATGGTAAAACTAGTTGAGGAGTTGTATTTAGGAAAACCAATGATATAATACGTTAATTAATAGAGACAGTTATTTACAGATGAGCTAAGTGTAATTAATAACATACTAGAGCACAAATGAAACAAGTGTTAAAATGAATTTTTAGGAAAAACCTTGACCTTGCACAATTTAGTATACTTAATAAATATAATTTAGATACTTAATAAAATTCTTATTTTTCTTTAAAATAATGTAATACAAATTTTTATTTTATGTTCTAATTCTTCAATAAACTTAAACATTATAATAACAAAGTTCTACGAAGGAATTTTGAGGAAAATAAGCCCAGTAACGCACTATATACCATCTTCAAAAACCTCGCAATGCAAGATGAATAATTCTTAGAAAGGCGTGAGCGGAAATTTTAAGTGAAACTTCCTTTTTACGTCAATTTTCTTTTAAATGCACTCTTGCAATTATTTTCGTCAAGAGTAAAAATTACACTCTTTAATTGGGAGGGACTATAATTTGCAAAAAAATTAATTTTACAAAAGCATTGAAATCTAATTAAAATATTCAACTAAACGATGAAACAAATATTGTTTTTCATGCTCACAGAGCAGACACTATGGGTTCAATAAGTTTTAATTAATTTTCTTTTAAATTTCACAATTTTACACATAATATTTTTATTGCTATTATAATTTTTTATTGATTAGATAATAAAATCGAACTTCTGTGGAAGTTTAAGTTTATTATTTAATTAATTAAAAATCAACCATGGTCTCAATATAGAGATAAATTTTCATTTTTTAATTAACAAATGATATTACTATTATTTAAGTAGTGTCTAATAAAAGTATTAAATTAAAACAAAAACATTCAGCCATTTTTCTATAGAAACATTGTTCCCAACGCTGCAGAATATAAAATCAATCATTAATGGATTGAATAATTCTTTTTTTGCATACTTTTTAGGTATGGCAATGAGTCCATTCGTTCTTTTAACTGTTCTGTTCATGCCAACAGCAGTTTTATGCAAGGACTTTTTCACCGCTGCTGTATTTGAACATCAAACAAGGGGCTCTGATGTGGCTGTAAAAAATTTACAGGAGGCGATGAATAGAAATTTGAAGCTGTATGCAAAAGCGGCATCGATAGCTTCCCAAAATGTGAGAAATGTGTATTTATATATTATTTCTCGATATAACATAAAAACATAATTGTCAGTAATAATATCATAATATCAGTTTTCCATTGTTGTCGGGGCATTTTTATTAGCCGTAAAATCACATGGTAGGATCCAGTTTTCCCACATGAATTTTAATTAATTAAAGTCATAAATTAAAAAAAGTCATAAATCTTTATTACATTTTGTTTTTCCATTGTTTTTCCATCAAAAAAAGTTTGTATCACTAATTGAAAGGTTTTTTTTACTAGTAATATTTCTTTTTTTTATTCTACTCTGCGATTATTATGTTTGAAATTTTGATTGTTTTCTAAATTAAGAGTTTAAGACTTTAAGAGTTGTTTATTTATTATAACATAATTTTGTGACGTTACCTTGTTACGTTACACTTTAAGACAAACTTATTTAAGTCTGTATACATACATCAATAGACTATGTATACATCGATGTTGTTGTTGTTGTTGTCGTCGTATGCTATTAAGGCAAAAGGGGTGCGCTTTCTTCTTGATATTGCATTGATGAAAAACATATAAATAAACAGGGGTTTCTTTTTCACATATTTTTTAACTTCTAACTGCCTGAATTTCAAATTCGATTCTTGTTCTTCTGTATTTTTTAGTTATTGTCTGTAAAAAACTATTTGTATATACAAAGTATTTTTTACTTTTTTTTCCATTTCTCTTACATCTTAAGACATACAAAAATGAACACGTTTTTTGTGAAATTAGAACATGTGACGAAACAGTTAAGCATTCATTATGAAAATCAATGATATATTGACAGTTAAATACTTTAAACTAATAAACCGGTCTCCAAACTTAATAACTGCTTTACAATTATAATTTTTTGATGCAAATTACATCAATAAACTATTATAAATTACAGTCAAAGAGATTCGTTGAATGATTAAAAACTTAACTATCAGCTTCGCGCACACATTTTATATAATATATCAGTCTGTATAGTAAATACGATTCGTATCATATTTAGTAGATACCTTCAATTTTAAATGTTACTTTAAAAAAGAATTAATACCAAAAATTATTTTTGCTCACTAATTAAACCTTAATAGAATCAATGAAAGAAATGTTCAAACGTGAAATTGTGCACAAGCGTAAGCAGAACGAATTCTCTTTAGTACACATATTTTAAGAGAACAATTTCAACTTTTGTAGGAAAGAAAACTATTCATGTCAATTATTGCAAGGAAGTCATCGGGTTTGGTAAATGGTAGAGAAAATGGGGCTTCACCCTTTAGTTTCGAAAATAAGTGTTGTATTGCAAAATAAGAAAAATACATAACTCAATAAATAACAGTAATTAGTTCTGTTTTTCAAAAAAAAAATTTCACCATTTTGCTGACTTAATAAGGGTACAAAATCATGAAATATGCTTACTCAAAAGGCTCCCTTGTTCACTTGACTTTTTATTTGCTAAAGAAATTACCTTACAGTGATATATTTTTCAAAATACGGGGCAATATATATTAGTGATTTTTGGAATATAAAAATAAATGCAATTGCAAGTTGTAATTAACAAGTTATTTGAACTCTTTTGCATGCATTATGATGCTTTTAATAATCTGTGGAAAACTCCTAGAATAATTGGTATTCATACTCGTTGTTCGTTTTTTTTTTTNTTCATTTTTTTTATTTTTTTTTCTTTTTTTTTTTGTTTACTGTGAAATGCTTACTATAAGATTAAAAAATTTAATGCGAAAAATTAAGAGGATTGCACGAAATCATCAACTAACTTATTTATTCAAAAAAAAATACTCCTACACAATGTGATTGAAAAGTTCTGTAAGCTTTACCTTCAAGAGACAACATAAAGTGAACAATTCATGTTACTTTTTACTTAAAAGCGAAAAAGATTATGTGATTTTACACTGAAATGATTTTGCAAGTCCTTATGTAAAGACTTGTAAAATTATTTCCCCCACACATTCACATTAAAAAATATGTATATTTTGGTACGTAAATGAAAATAATAAAAATAATGATATTGACATTATTTAAGTGTAAATGATGAAAATAAGCAATAAAATATTCCTTGCATTTAAGACTTATGTTCAAAAAATAAACCTACAAACGCAAATGAATATAATTATAATAATGATCTATTCACTATTATATCACTATTCTGTCACTATTATATCACTATTCACTATTATATCACAATATCACTATTCTTTTACGTATCAATGAGGAACATATTCTTAACGTTTAAAAAATGATGCATAGTAAATTTCTACAAATTATTATTTATTAAATTATTTATTAAATTATTAATTATTATTATTTATTAAATTATTTATTAAATTATNCCATTGTTGTCGGGGCATTTTTATTGGCCGGAAAATCACATGGTAGAATCCAGTTTTCCCACATTAATTTTAATTAATAAAAGTCATAAATATATTGTTTTCCTATAAAAACAAATTTATCATTAATTAAAAAGTTTTTTTTACTAGTAATATTTATTTTTTTTATTCTACTCTGCGATTATTATGTTTGAAATTTTGATTGTTTTCTAAATTAAGAGTTTAAAACTATAAGAGTTGTTTCTTTATTGTAACATAATTTTATGATATTACCTTGTTACGCTACACTTTAAGACAAACTTATTTAAATCTGTATATGCGTCAATAGATTATGTATACATCGATTTGTTGTTGTTGTCCAGCAAAGGGGGTGCGCTTCTTCTTGATATACATACATCGATGAAAAACATATTAATAAACAGGAATTTCTTTTTCACATACTTTTTAACTTTTATCTGCTTGAATTTCAGATTTGATTCTTGTTCTTCTGTATACTTAAGTCATTGTCAGTAAACAATGTGTGTGTATAAAGAATTTTTAATTTTTTTCCACTACTCTTACATCTTGAAACTTACAAAAATGAACACGTTTTTTGTGAAATTAAAACATGTGACGAAACAGCTAAACATTCATTATGAAAATCAATGATATATTGACAATTAAATGTTTTAAACTAATAAACCGGTCTCCAAACTTAATAACTGTTTCATAATTATTATTTTTTGGTGCAAATTACACCAATAAACTATTACAAATCACAGTCAAAGAGATTCGTCGAATGATTAAGAACTTAACTATCAGCTTCGCGCACACATTTCATATAATACACCGAAGACCCATTACATTATGACCACCCTGCTAATAACATGTAGGACCACCTTTAGCCGTCAAAACTGCTTGCACCCGCCTTGGCACTGATTCCACAAGGTGCTGCTAGGTAGTCTGAGATATCTGATACCAAGCGCTCACCAACTGGTCCTGCGATTCCCTCACATTGTGAGAGGGTAGCGTGGCAGCACGAATTTGGTTTTCCAAGTAAGACCACAAATGCTCTATTGGATTAAGGTCAGGTGAATTTGGAGGCCAAGACATGACTTGAAAGTCACTGGAATGTTCCTCGACGATTCGACCCTTATGACGTGAAGCATTATCCTGTTTGCAAACACCATCCCCCGCAGGAAAAACTGTTGCCATGAGTGGGTGAACCTGGTCTGCAACTATGTTCAAGTAGCTTACAGACGTCAGGGATTGTTCTATGAGGATAATGGATGATAATGTGCCCCATGAAAACATTGCTCCTGGACAAGAAACCATGAAAACCTGGGCGAGCCCATTGTTATAGATGGAGGGTGGTCATAATGTAATGACTCTTCGGTGTATATTAGTGGTTTTTAGAATGTAAAAATAAATGCAATTAACAAGTTTAAAAAAAATTAAGTTCGAAAGGCTTTATTTGAATTCCTTTGCATGCATTATGATGCTTTTAATAATCTATATAAAACTCCTACAATAATTGGTATTCACACTTGTTGTTTTTTTTAGATTGAAATGCTTACTATAAGATTAATAAATTTAATGAGAAAAAATAAGAGAATTGAGCGAAATCATCAATTAACTCACTTATTCTAAAAAATAAAAATACTCCTACAAAATGTGACTGAAAAGTTTTGTAAACTTTACCTTTTAGAGACAACACAGAGCTCATAAGTTTCTTTTCACTTAAAAGAAAAAAAGATGATCTGATTTTACAAGTCTTTATGTAAAGACTTGTAAAATCATTTCCACCAAATATTCACATTAAAAAATATGTATAATTCCGTACGTAAATGAAAAAAAAATAATAATGAAATTGACATTATTTAAGTGTAAATGATGAACATAAGCCATAAAATATTCCTTGCATTTAAGGCTTATGTTCAAAAAATAAATGTACATACGCAAATGAATATAATAATAATAATGATCTTAACACTATTCTGTTACGTATAAATGATGAATATATACCTTAAAATATTCTTAACGTTTAAAAAACTGTGCATAGTAAGTTTCTATAAATATGTAATGTAAAAACATGCTTTATGTTCTGTCTTGATAAATAAAACTGCTATTTTTTGAAGAAAAAAATGCTTTTTTTTTAAATTTATTTTTTGTTTTTATTCAAGTATTAACTTAAATGTCTCAATTTCAGGGAGTTGACATTCTTGTTTTCAATGAGTATGGATTGATAGATGATCCAGAAAATCAAGGAGAGATGGGACGATACGCTGAAAATATCCCAGATCCTACGAAGCAAAAGTCTAATCCTTGTATTGAAGATCATAACAATAGAATCAGGCTTTCGACAATAAGCTGTTTAGCAAGAGAGAACCATATGTATGTTGTTGCAAACTTGATCGATGTTCAAGAGTGTGATGAGTTTTGCCATGAAAATGATGTTGAAAACTGCGCAAGTGAATGTCCTAATGATGGTGTTTTCATATACAATACGAACGTTGCATTCGACAGAGAAGGAAATCTGATAGCGAAATATCATAAAATGCACCCATATTTTGAAAGTGCCGACACAGCGCAACCAAATTTCGTCACCTTTGATACTGAATTTGGAAAATTTGGACTTATTATATGTTTTGACTCTGTTTTTGGTGAATCTGTGGAATTAGCGCGTGAATATGGTATAGATACAATGGTGTTTCCGACTTATTGGTTTGATAGCATCGCAGTTCTGAATGCAGTTGAGCTCCAACAAGCTTGGGCCTTGGCGAATAATGTAAATTTTTTGGCAGCTAATGCCCAATACGCAGAAACGGGATCTTTGGGTAGTGGAATATTTTCAAAGGACTCAGGATATTTGGTATATACATATGACAATGATGGAGATTCTAAGCTTTTGATGGCAAATCTCAAAATAAAAGAAGATGCTGAAGTTCCCGATATTAGTTCAATCATTGTAGTCAGAGAAGATATTGCTTTTCTCAAATCTGAAGAAACAGGATCTAATTTCCCAGCAAACTGTTTTAAGGAGTCTGTCGGTCCGGCCAAAAGCATTAATGACTACAGATGCATTAGACCTATGACAGAAAACTTCACGATAACTAAACTAAGCGATCCCTCTGGAGAAATTGAATCTTGCAATAACGGATTCTGTTGCTCCTTGAAGTATTCTACCGATGGCTTGGAGGATGAAATTTATCTAGCAACATTCAATGGTACCAGTAATGTTAAAAACTTCTATTTCTGGTGGGAAGAAACTTGTTTGTTAATCAGGTGTGATCCTTTCAACGGTAAAGAATGCGTAATGCAACCTACCACTTCCAAGACAGTGTTTAAGAGTTTAGAAATGAGGGCGAAATTTGAAGCTGAGAGAATTTATCCAACTGTAACCAAGAACTATTATCGGTTAGCACCAAAGGAAGAATGGACGGTCGAAACTATTGAGACTGAAACCATTTTAAGATTTCATTCAATCTTCGAGACACCATTGGTAAAAGTTGCTTTAATGGGAAGAAACTATAAACGTGACCCACCATTTATACCATTTAATGCTCCAAGAGGATCAGGATTATCTTTCTTCGCTCCTTAATATGATCTATTACAATTGAACTATATTATTTTCCTGTTGATAAAGCGTTGATGTACTATTAATAAAATTAATGTAACATACATCAAACATTTTTTTAATGAAAATAACTGAACCTAATCAAAACTTTTCTATCACTTTAAAAACAAGCAGTTTCTGATATCTTTTCAACTAAAATTTTGTGGGTAAATTTTCAGCTATCTTGTCGCATATTTTTTCATTTAAAAAAGAACTAAGAGAAGTGCTGAGATTTTGTCATACTTACCGATATGGAAAAAATGTTGCCAGAGAGTGTGGAGCCTTATAACCAATAAACTGTAACATACAACTAGTAATTTTGCAAACATATCATTCTTAAAAAAATCATATTTATTTTAATACAGAAATATTCCGCAACTCTTACACATTCTTTGTTATTATAATTTATAACACCAAGAAAAAATATTCTTCTCATGCTTACGTATTAGTTTTAGATCTTGTTAAAGATAATAACATTTCATTAAATTCAATTTTTGTTTATTGTAATTTTGTGTCTAATACCATAAAAAATATAATTTCCGAGGGTGGAAAGTTATGAGCATTTAAAGAGATAAACAGATCGCAACAGACAACTTATAAACGAAATTTCAGCATATTAGCCATTTTATTTATAGACAAAATTAATTATGAAAAATGCCGAGTGTTAACATCATAACAATTGTGTTTGTATTCGCCCTGATTTGATCAATTTCTTTTTCATAACATTGGTTTATGCATTAGTTTTTCTCTACATGAAACTTTTGTCTATATATAAATTGTAATAACGCGCAAGCATTTAGTGAAATTATAGTTTTAAGTGACAGAATTATTCATTATTTGATCAAAAAACTTTATCAGCTTCAAAAAAAATGCAGAGGGAAATAAAACGACGTGTTTTAAGCGCTCAACAATAGGTGCCCTTTCTGTAGACTGCCATACATGAACGAGAAGGCACAAAAGTTATTTGAAATATAAAACGTAAAGTTGCCAACTAAAAATGAAAAATAAAGGGGGAGAGACAAAACTAGATGAGGTGATGTGACTGGGGATTAGGGGGAATTATTTTGGCATTCTCGAAAATGAATTTAAGTCCAAAACTACCACAATGTGCAACAATTGATTACTTATCGTATTCCTTAAGTTGTAATCTTATAGCGCGTCCGGTTAGTTCGATGTAAGCAAATTTACACTGGCAAAGTATGTGGTAAATTCCCAGCCGATTTTCAAAACTAACTTAAATTGAATTTTTTTAAAGGACGTCTGGCAAGTCTAGAAAATGGGTACCTATATTTCAGCCTCATGTTTCAGAGATGTCGATTTAGTTTCCACCTACATATTTTTTAAGCCTATGAACCTATGATGCTTTTTAATCAAATAATAACTTCCCGCTTCAGTTTTGTGGAGTTATTTATTTTAGAATGATTCATTAATTTTGAATTCTTTCATTATTTTAAATGATACTGCTAAAAAATGAATTAAATATTAAAAAAATAATTGAGGAATCTGTTCTATCGTAAAATTATTTCTAACAAAATGTGTGTTTTCTTCATTTTCTTTTCAAATAGATCGACGTTTGTTTTTGTTAGTGCCTTAGTCGTTCAAATATTTGTAGTGCTTAATAGACAGTGTTAGAGGTAAATTTCCTTATTGTCATGTGATACTTTTATTTTATTCTAAAATTAAGAAGGGCAGATAAAAATTTTAGATCTTAGAATTTGGATTATTAAACTATGCGTTTACAAAGGGTGTGATTAAGCGAAATCTTCTATATTTATAACCAAGGTAAGGGATATCACACCAAATATCCAAGTATCCCTATTCTTGATGGGATTCCGGATATTTTTTTTTTTAATTATTCCTTTATTATACAAATCTAAGTTATGTCGTGAAGGACTTAGGAACTCCACGAACAGTAAAATTTGTTATTATTCAGAAAAATTATAGTTTGAAAAAATACGTTTTAAAACTGCTGGTGACTGAGCTCTTTCGAGTCTTATTCTACCACTACAATTAATTAGCTGTGATAAGTAGGATTTTATATTACGTTAAACAGACAGATATATAATGAACAAGTTGAAGGTATTCCTATTTGTTTTCTTTTTATTAGTTTTACTTGTTATTGCAACTAAACTGGTTGTTAGAAAGAAATATAATAAATACACCAATATTTTTTGGACATAAATTCTCGAATTTACTTTCAATAATCCTATAAATATGAATTTATACTTATTTATGTAAAGATCTTATTTGTATTATGGACTAACTCTATTGTTAATTTTGAGATGCAGAGAGTCAAAATTTCTCAAAAGTGAATAGAAAAATCGCAAGTAGATACTTATTTATAACAGTTGTGTGCATTAAATAGGCTTTTGTGCGCTTAATCACTGTTTACAATTATTTTCCAAAACGACCAATTTCCAGTTAATTAAAAGCAATTGAATTTTTTTTGTACTTATCTCTCTATAATAAAATATTTTAAGGACGGTTGCCGATACCGCTGCTGTTTTGGGTGTACAGTTTAACGCTACATTTATCTTTACTGCGAAAAAACTATAGATTTTAGAAACTTGAAAATACTATGTTATGTAGAAAAGTGTACAAGAATTACGATGGAAAAAAAAAAATTTTTTTTTTTTTTTTTTTTTTTTTTTTTTAGTTTGCTTGAAAATTATTAACTGATAAACTTGTTAAAAAAATACCATGCAGACCACTCTACAGGGCCCAAGAATGCGACTACAAAATTGAAATTCGGCAAACTGAAAGGGTCGGATTTGTTTATGAGCTTGAAACAGAGTTGTTGTTTTTTTTTAAAAAATCCAATTTATCCGACAGTTATTGCGATTTTAATTGCTTCTTGTGATTTTTTTTCGCTTTATGTTACATTTTGCCTTGCTGCTCCAAATCTATGAGATTTGGAAACTTAAAATTACGAAGGCGTGTCGAAAAATGTTCAATTTGTTTGATGGAATGAAAGAAATACGATTTGTTTATTACAGGGATGAGAGTAGTCAGAAAGTAAAAAAGAGGAAATCAAAAAAA